TAGTAGGATTAATTTAAAAGCTAGTTCTATTATTATATCTTATAGTGACTAAAAGGCTATTAAATTTAAATTTCACTTTTAAATATTTATTTTTTATTTTTGTTTATTTTTATTTATTTTATTTTTTTTTAAATAAAAGATCTTCTACTCAGCACTTATATTATTAAAAATTACTACAGCTTGTTAGTTTTTAGTAAATTTTATTACAATATTAAAAGAAATATTAACATTTAACTTTTCATTATTTTGTATTTGAAAAGAAGCTTTATTGATTAAATTATAACTAATATTATAATGTAAGATAAGATAAGTAGTTGAAGATTTAGATCTTTTACAAATTTTTTTGCATGAATAGTTTTATAAATAGAGTTAAGAAAAAGGTATAAACATGCAAAATTAATAGTAACTTAAAGTTGATTTTGAAATATATATAGTGGAATAGTATAATAAGATTGAAGAATTTTTTTATAATTGAGTTTTATAAATAATATATTATAAAATTTAAAAAGAATAAGTTTTAAGATATTAATTAAAATTTTTGTAGAAATTGAAATATAAATATTAATTAATGAATTAGTTTTATGAACTAAGTCTACCAAGAATTTAGGTTTTTGTTCTGTTATATTTTTTAACAAGTAATCAAAAGAGTATTTAAAAATAGATTTAATATCTGAATTTTTAGAAAAAATAGTTTTTTCAAATATGAATTGAATTAAGTTAGGTTTAAGAAAATCAAATAATTGTTGAGAAAATGGAGTGTTAAGTTTTGAGTTGAGTTCTATTTCTTTTGTAACTAGAAATAATTTAAACTAGTCAAGATCTTGAAAGAAATCACATTTTTGTTGTTGAGATTTGATATTCTTTTTAGAAAATTTAGATAAAATTTTTTTAAAAAGTTCTATTTTTTTAGTTTTATTAAATAAAATAAATTTGGATATATAAATTATTTTCTTTTGTTCTTAAAATAAAAGTTTAGTTTGAAGAAGATAATGTAATTTAATATTAATAATTCTATGAATACAATTATGATGAATAAGCTGAGTTCTAAAAAGAATTATTGTGATATAATCTGAAGAATATTTGTTTTCTTAAAAAAGAATACAAGAAAGTTTTTTAATATTATATAAAACATATATATAAATATGTTAAGAATGAGGAATAATATCAGTTAATATGGATTGATATTAAATAAAGAAAAAAGAATAATGGAATTAGAAAATTGAATTAAAAGTTATTTAATAATAAAAGATATAGGTAAAATATCACTGATTTTTTTAAAGTATTTAGTAAAGATAATTAAAGAGGTTTGCATATTAGAGAGTTCAAAAGTGATAGGTTGAGTAATTTTGTAATAACAAGAGATAAAATTTGTATAAAATTGATTATATAAACATATTTTAATAATTAGTTAAATAAGAACTTTGAAGTAATATTGTTTTTTTTTAAGACTTTTACATTGATTAGGATTAATATCTAATAGAAGAATATGGTGTGATTTAGAAGTTTTCTCATTTATACCAAGTTTATAATAACTTTTGTATTTAAAATAATAATAATCTATATTATAAGAGTCTGGTTCAGTTGTTATAAGAATAGGTATTTTTAAAATATTTTGTTAAGTAAAAAGTTATAAGTATTTGATTTTGTAAGGATAATAAGCAAATACAAATATTTTAATATAAGATATAGTTTAATATAAGTTTGTATAATTTTATGTAATAAGATATTACAAAATTATAATTTATAATAAACTAAAATAGTGGATGTAACTAAATATTAGTTATTAGTATAATGTAATATTAGTACAAAATATAATTTTTGTATAAAATTAATTAGAATCAAATATAGAAAAAAATAGATTATATATTAAGTAAGATTCTATTTAAGAATATATTAGTAAACTTGATATAAATTTAAATTAAAAAATGATCTAATATTATATAAAAAACATATAAGGATAAGCAGACCAGGATAAGGACAAAAAATAAAAAAAGAATTTTTATAAGAGAATAAAAATTAAATTTAACTATAATTTAATTAATATTTGACTAAAATCTTCATTTAGAGTTTGTTTTGATCAGAAAAATATATTCTATATTACTTAAGAGTGTAAAGTAAGTTATAACAATAACTTTTATATAATAATTAAAATTGTAAATTCTGAAGACCAAAGGCTATTAGTACATTTTTCTTAACCAGTTTAAATTTTAAAAACTTGAAACTTTTAAAATAAATATAAAATTTAGTACTAAATAAGTTTACTTAAGAACCAAAAACAAATTAACTTAGTAAAATAAATAGTTATAAACATTTTTGTATAAACAAATTTTTAGTTAAAATTTGTGTAAAGGATTTGTAAAAAGAGTTTACTCACTTTTAAATTTGTTTAATACTGTAATGCAGTATATTTATATTTATAAACTATAAATTAAAAAGATTAATTAGTTCTTTATTAGTTTATGAACTTTTTTATAAAATTTTTTTTTATTTCTAATAATATTAAAAAATTATATAATTTAATTGATTAATTATCATATATAATCAAGTATGATGACCTAGTAAAATGAATAGGTTGTCAACCCTTAAGTAATAGGTCTAAGGTTCAATTTTCACAGATAACGAATTTTGGAAATTATATCTGTATTACAGTAACTGTCTTTTGCTGATTGGTTGGGTTTTGAACATCTGTAATCTTAAGTATACCAAGTTAAATCCCATCTGATATTGGAAACTTGAGGCATTTATGCAAATTGTAATATTATACAGTACATGTACATAGAGGAATGTAAAAAACTGATGTCATATAAGACTTTAATGCAAACCTATGATAAAACCATCAAGTATAGAAAACTAAGAAACTGAAGAGACAGAAACTCACTTAAAAATTCCAAGTAAAAAGGTAACACAAACTTTCTATGATGCCATTGGACTAATGAAAACTCATGAAACATCTTTATAAGAACTGTTAGATAAACTGAATAACAAAGATGTATAAAGAAACATATAACCAACCCAATCATCAGAATTGTCAAAAAAAAAAAGATACATAAATATACCATATCAGGTCATCTAAATTGAAAGTTTAAGAAGTCAATTAGTTCCAAATTACAACTAATAGGAGATAATGAAAAAGAAATCAGAAAAATAAGTACCAGGATTTAGGTGAACTTTATAAAGGTAATAGTAGTTTAAGAAGTAACCCTGACTGCAAGTGTTGATCTTAATTATAACACCAAACCAAGTTAATAGTAAAAAGAAATACAGCTTACTTTGGTAGATTTATCTCAAAAATAAAAATAATCTAAGAATTATAGTCCTATAATTAAATGTGAATAAATCCAGATCTAATCTCATGAAATTAATACTAGAATTAGATCAGAATGTTTAAATGAAACATCTAAGCAGAGGTGTTAGGTACAACAACTGATGAGAAACCCTCAGACAGACTCCTTAAATAAGTAATATAAAAAAGTTACATGTGCAACCAGTTATACACTCATCTAATAGTTCATTATAGATACATCTATATAAAACATATACCTGCTATAAGTATTAATAAAAAACTCGAACCAAAGAAGTCACCTTAATACCGAAAAAAAAAAAAAATATCATATATAATCACAAGTAAATTTACAAAAATTAACCAATCATATAACATTTTTTTAAGCATGGACATGCCTTTTGACTATATGCCATGCCTATGGGCATGTTCATAAAGTATGTCCCATGCCCTGAACCCTACCTGTCGGGCAGAGACACGGAAATTATGCGATTTGTTTTAGTGCGATTCTTGACAAACCAGATCGCATAATTACCAATTATTACATATAAAATTTATATAACTGATAGCTCACAACGAACCCAAATCGCATCAAACCACACTAAATCACAGATTCCGTGTCCCTGCTGTCGGGATTTTGACCCGCACCCGATATACGAGGTGACCTGACTTAAAAGGATAAAAAATTATTGCTTAGCATTAAGAATCAGCCAGAGTCACTCCACAAAGTTCTATCGCAGTACCTCGATAATTTTTTTTTAATTCAAAATATACTAAAATATTAACTTTACGTGACGAAGTTCAGGAAATGTTAATAATTTTAATATACTGTATGTATTTGAATTAAAAAAAATATCGAGGTGCTGCTGCAGTGATCAACCCAAACTTTTGGAGGGCGACCCTGGCTGAAAAGGTAAAAAGTATAAAGGAAAAAAAAAGATACGAAGAGTAGCAAAAGAAAAGATGACTCTAAATACGTATACTTTTTATTGATGTTTTGGTCCTAATCACGCGCATGTAATTGTTGTACAAATGGATTTGGTTGATCCATTTTAAATGACAATCATTTGATCCTCCATCTTCATTTACAAAGCATGAATCCAGAAACCTTTGTTAATTTGTTGTTTCATCGTATCGAGGCAAATTTCATTCTTCCGCAAGATTATTCGTACTCTCATTTTTTTGATAGTTGTAACACTACGTCAGACAATGCGATTTCGCAAATTCAAAGGTTCACAATGAAACTTTATTATTCTAGCAATAATTTATATATAATGAAAATTATTTTAAAATACTTACTGGCTTAAAAGTGATTCGTTCAAATCTTACACAGATGTTCTCTTCGCATATATTTGTTCTGATAAAATCACACCTAATAGTGATTTCACAGTAAGGTTTCATTTATCCTTTTGAAAAGGCTAATTTGACTTAAAACTTACTCTTCCACTTATGAACGTCTATGATTCAGTTAAACGGAATTTTTATTACTCGTTTACTAATACAAAGATTTCGCGAATCTATAAATCCTAAAGCTTATACTCCTTTATTGAAATTATTCAATAATTTTGAACCACGACCCAATTTCTGTAAGATAACATGCGTACGTCTATTATGATCAACACGTGTCACATAACCTCACGTTAATATAGATCCTTTTAGATTTTGTATTATAATGTTGTTGAATCAGGCTTTTCATATAAGCAGAGTGCCTGGACGTACTATGCATTGGTTGCTATCATTTATACGTGATGAAGCTACCTGGTTATTACAAATCGAAGATCATAACATCCTTAATACTCAAGACATGCAATCAGAAATGATCTCTTCTTTAACTGAACAACTTGGCAAAGTAATACATTTTTTGTGTTGTTGAATTTATCAATGAAATTAATCATTATTTACAATTTATCGATTTCACTAGACTAAACGCACCTTAATGTATGAAGATCTCGAATTTTCTCGACTAGTGGAAGGATTTTCTAAAATTACGAATATTCCAATAGGTCTTGGTTTTACTGATGATGAAATTCTTACAGAACAAAAGTAAAAGATCGCTATTTTTGATATGTTAATTACGAGTAACACGCGCTAATGTTGTGAATACTCAGATTACAAAGGTGTCAGAATATCCTTGAATACGCCATTCATCACCCGTCTGAACACAGATTACTCCAAAACAAGATCAGAATTGTATGTCTGGAAATTGTAAAGAAAAAAACAATTAAATTTTTTATAATTCAATCGATCCTCTTAATAATCAGGATTATCCTACTATATAGCTGCTTGAACCGCGAGATCTCGAAAGATTTCGACCGATACACGTACTGTAAGGCTTTTAAAATCAGATCGTTATTGTTCTGATCTCTTAAAATATTAGTAATTTTACATTATGACTAAACAGATTCAAGATTTATCGATCCGAATATCCGCACCAAATTAGTCCTTTGCTAAATCAATTGCGGCTAGCTCAATTATTTACATATGAAGAAATTCAATCGGTATTTAATTCGGTCATACTAAGTTACTATATTTAAACCCTATTATATTTTTCTCATGTATTATATACATTAGATGTCATTAGGTTCGTTTCTTTCAAGGCTAATATACAATGATGTCATTGACGTGTATTTGGATCGTTTAGAGGTGGCTGAATTGGAAATAAAATACGGACTTAAAAGTAGCCAAGTTAGGCTCATTCTATAAAGTTATTTAAAATTAAAAAATTGATAACGTTTGCATCGAATAACAGTTAAACATTTTTAGGATGTTGGAATTGATCGTGAAGCGCGAACTGATATTTTTGACGTGTCTGTGACGGGGCTAAAGCAATTGTTTGAAGAATTTATTTCTTTGGAAAATAAAGACATAATCCTTACATTAATTGAGATTGCTGAATTAATAATAAATGTTCCGTTTAAGTAAGTACTCTGTCGCTTGAAGCACTTTCACAATACTTGCATATAATGCTTTAATTATCGACATTAATTTCTTATTAGGTTTATAACACGAATTCTACTTGGCACGTTGTTTCTTTATCAATTCTGCGTGAATACAATCCAAGCTATTGAACTGACGAAGGTATATTACAATTAATTATAAATTGATGTTTGAATAAAAAATATTACGGTTCAATTTTTTTTCCTCCCTTTCTAGATTATCAATTTCAAGGAAATAAACAGATTATTCCTCGACATTTGGATTAGTGCATTCACTCGGCTTATGTCTCAGCCGACATCAACATCGGATATCCATGATAATCTTTTGACACTCACAACATTGTTTCTTTATTCTTTTAACGCCACTATGGTATGTACTTGGTTACCACCTTTTAACAATTCGAAAGATGACACTATGAAACCTCCTATGATGGTTTTTACGCCATTTTTGGATAGTTTGCTTAAAATTTTTCATAAAGTGGTGTCGGATGATGTTGAAAACATGGATAATGAAAATATGATTACTATGATATTAGATAAACTTGGATTTGATGTGCCATTGGAGGTTTTGATCCGAGAATCAAAAGGGTTGGAGAAGATTACAAGTCAAAATATTTGGCTGGCAGTATTTGCAGAACGTTTTAATAATATTAACTCTCAAAAATGATTGATGAGTGTTTATAGTATATTATTGGAAATATGGATTCTCCGTAGGTTCGTGAGATAATAAAATCGCAAATAATCGTTCAACAAAATAATGTAGTTAACGCAAAATTTACCTTTAATGTTAAATTAAAACAAAGTTTTACGTTTTTACAAGCAAGTAATGCATATTAATAGGCATGCCTTATGACCAAAAGGCACGCCCATACCTAGCCCAATCTGATCCTAACCCTAACCTAGAAACCTTAACTCATAAAATATATATTCTACCAATATTAATCTGATTGGCCAAGATAACATAGCGGACATTAAATTTAATTGGATGATAGAATATAATATTATATTAGTGTTTTTATAAAATCGGCTTTTCAAAAAATCGACTTAGTCGACTTTATATAAGTGACGAAAAGGGAAAACCTGTAAATCATTTCACTCATTGAGTGAGATGATTTACAGGTTTTCCCTTTTCGTCACTTATATAGATCATAATAAAAATTTGAGACAGTTTATAATATGGGCTAGGCGCTGGAGAAAGAAACTAAATTAACAAAAAATTGATTTTGTGAAAAATTGATTTTTATATTATAAAATCTATAGAAAAATACAGATTTCAAAAGATCATACTGCAAAATTTTATTAATGCAACAGTATTTTTTTTTTAAGTGAAAAATGTTTCTAAGTTAATTTTAAATCAGTTAAGCTTAAAAAATTCATTCTGAAAAATTATCAATTTGATTTTTTTTTTTCAGCACCTAGCCTATATGATCTGAAAATTGATAAAAAGAAAATTAATAAATATAAAATATAAGCAAGACTGAGACAAAAATTTGAAAAATTTTTAAAATTTTTAAAGTTTAATTCAGTAGAATTTAGAATAATTAATTTTAATATAGTCAGCTAAACTAATATTTAAATATCAACTTAGTCAAGTTGATAAATAATAATTGATTATAAATATTATACAATTCTATATATAATTTATATTTCTACAAATATAACATTGTAAAATTACTAAATTAGTATAGATATAATTATTAATTTTACAATTTTATATTATAGAGTTGTAAAAATTACATTATTTTTATAATTATATATATATATAATTGTAAAATTACTAAAATTATTATAATAGTGTGGTGACTTAGTGAAGTAGATAAGTTGTTAACTTTTCAAGTGATAGGTTAGATGTTTAAATTCTATTAATAATAAAAATTTGGATAATTACTTATATAATACTCATATTATGGTAATTGTTTTTAATAATTAAGTTAAGATACTTGTAATAGTGATCATATTAGTATAACTGGCAGATTATGAAACATTTGTATAAAATTATAAAAAGAAATGCAAACCAGCATCAAGCAGTGCAAACACTAGATAAGTTCTTATAATTATATAAATCAATTAAAATTTGAAAACAAAAATCTATTTAAGTAGAGAAGTAATATGGATTTTTAATGATGTTATTATAAAAACTAAACTACTAAAAACAAATATTAATGTCAAAGTAACTGAATAGACAAGAACCTTTAAGTTAGAAGTTTCAGAGATATTATTAACCAGATTGCCAATATGAACTAAAAAAAAAGATATTAGATTAACTTAATATACTGATAGACTAGTTGTAGTTCTATACAAGCTATTTAAATTAGAAGTTTGAATAATAGTTAAGATATACTAAAGTACTATAGATATGTTATAAAGTAAATACTGAGTTTTAAGTAAACTATACAAGAATATAGCAGTTAAAGATAAAACTTTAATTACAATTATTGGTTCTGTTATAGCAATACTAAATTAGCTATAAAAATGAATATAAAAGCTTTAAAAAGTTTATTTTAAAGATAAAATAGTTCTAAGATTAAGATAATAATCTAGACATAATCTAGTAATATTAACATAAATACAGATTTAAAGAGTTTAAAATAGAACACTTAAGCAAAAATGTTAGGTATAGTAATTAGTAAAGAACTTTTGATTAGACTTATTAAATAGATAATATAAAAAAGTTATATATATAGCTAATTATACACTTTTTCTATAGTAGTTTATAAGAATTATATTATCAAAAAAGTTATTAATAAAAGTCAAAAGACCAAAGAGGTTACCTTAATAATAAAAAAAATAAATTAAATTATATAATTATTGAGTATAAAAAATAACAAAAAATTAAATAGTTTAATATAAAATTTTATTACAATAGCATTTTAATGTTTGCATAATGTATCAGGTATGCCAACTTAACAAATAAATATTTCAATTTTATTGTTAACAGTATAAAAAAGATCTTTTTAACTTATATTTAATACTAAGAACTTATTTTTATATCTGTTTTTTTAATTAAATTTATGTTAACTATATTTCAACTAAGACATAAAAATTATTTAAAAACTTATAAATAATCAGAATGCTTATATACAAAATCAAATAATTATTATTTATAAAATTTTTTATTTTTGAAATAATATAATAAAATACTTGAACTAAGTTATAGATTTGTGTTTGAACAAAGAATATATCTTTTATAATCTAAAGTTTTATTCAATATAATTATTTATATATTTTTTATAAATAAGTAATTCTAAATAAAATGATAAAACCTAATAACAATGATATTCTTTTTTTTTAAATATTAAGGTAAGTACTTGTGACCCAGGATTTTATTGATAATACATTCAGCTAATAGTTGCATTACAACCACAAGGGGCAATCATAAAAAGAGTGTACAACTAGCCACTCGTACAAGTTTAGTCATTATCTAATTTAAGTAGTCTACTCAAAGGTTCTACACTAGCTGCCATACCTAAAACCTACTTGTAAGTTCCCTATTTAACCACTCTGTTTCTGTATCTATCCACCTACCTATACCTACCAAGATGCCCCGATTGATACTGATGCAAATATGCCATATTCACTAAGTCTTTAAAGCAGTTTACTCATATGAAGAACCTTTGACCTTGTACTAAAGCTTCCAGAATTTTCTGTATCCTATTTTTACAGCTAACCTGGTATCGCTATGACTGAGACCAACACTGGTAGTCAGAGTGTATTATTTAACCACTATGCCCTTGTAGAGTTCACCCCAACCTCAATACTGACTTCACAACATATTCTTACTACTTTGGTATTTAATTCAAGTTTCACCAAGCTCCCAAACCAGATAGCCCAGAAAGGCAGGTCATAACCATACACCTTTGGTTTACATATTTGCTGGCATGTAACCTTTTTCTCCAGAATCTGGAAATTCTAATGGCCTGGTTGGTTCTATTCGGCCCTTCTCAAAGGTTGGCTTTTTGCCCAGTTTCACAAATTCTAGCTCCATTTTATAGGTCTAGTCTTTACAGTAGCACTATCGAAAGTTCAGGTTACCTCTTTACTCAGGTCTTCCAAGTGGGCTTCTGTCCTTCTATCTGGTTTCCATGATTTACATAGCCTAAGGACTTATCTTAAGTTTATACTGCCTGGTACCAGTTTGTGTTCTTTTGTATAATGTTGCATGAATGGCTAGACCTTCCAGTCAGGCTGGTATAATATGGGTTACAAGTATCTTATCCCAATCAATCACAGAAGACAGTTAGCTGTAACATAGAAAGAATTGCAAATTTTTACTGTCACTAGGATTTGAACTCCAGACCTGTCACTTGGGGGTTGACAACCTATCCACTTCACTAGGTCACCACACTCCTAGTTGTCTATATTGTAAATATTATTTAAAATAAAATAGTTTAACAATTTAATAAAATTTTATTAATAAAAAATAGCAAATTTTATTATATTTTAAATCACTAAATTGCTTTTTTTAATGCAAATTTTATATATTTTACTTATTCATTTTCTTTATCATTATTATAAGAAGTATTATTTTTTGGTTCTTTAATTAATAATTGCTCTTTAAATTTTTACAAATATTCTAGTAAGAACTAAATATATTAATTAATACTGTTTTGTAAGAATAAAAGACAATACAAATATTTAAATCTGTTATTAATATAACAAAAATTTATAATAAGTATACTCACAAGCTAATATTCTAATTAATTTTAAATTAATAAAAAAAAAAAAATTAAACAAAGCATAATAATATAGTGAAATAGTTATATTGTCAAGCTTCAAATAGCAAGTTTAAAGTTCAAATCTTAGTATTAACAAAAATTTTAAATTCTTTTTGTATTATAATTAACTATTTTCTGTTATTAGTTAGAATTAGATACTTGTTACTTGTATTATATTAGCATGACTAGAAGGTTATATAATATTTATGCAATAGTTGCATCTTGTATAAAGAAATACAAACCAGTACTAGGTAGTATAAAACTATGATAAGTTCTTATAATTATATAAATTACAAAAATCAAAAAAACAGAAGTCTATTTAGAAGATCTGAGTAAAGAGGTAACCCAACTTTTGACAATATTACTATAAAGATTAAATTTATAAAATAAAACTAAAACTTGTAAAACTGAATAAAGACAATTTAGTTTTTAAGAAAAGACTATTATAACTAGTCAGGCTACTAGAAATCTAAAAAGAATAATAGAGAAAAAGGTTACATATCAAAAAACATATAAACTAAAGGTATAATTATACTTATCTTTTTGAACTATCTGAACTAAGAACTTGATAAAACTTGAATTGAATATCAAAGTAGTAAGAATATGTTATAAAGTAAATACTAAAATTGAAATTAACTTTATAAGAACATAGCAATTTAATAATACACTCTGATTGCAAATATTAGTCTCAGTCATAGTGTTACTAAGTTAGCTATAAAAATAGAATATAGAAAATTTGAAAGATTTAATACAAGGTCAAAAGTTCTCTATTTGAGTAAACTACTTTAAAGACTTAGTGATTATAATCTATTTGCACTAGTATTAATTAGAATATCTTGATAAGTATAAGTAGTAGATAGATACAGAAACTAGAACATTTAAATAAAGAATTTACAAGCAGGTTCTAGATATAGCAACTAGTATAAAACCTTTAAATAAACTACTTAAATTAAACAATAACTAAAGTTGTATAAGTAGCTAATTGTATACTCTTTTTATAATTGTCTTCTATAGTTGTAATGCAACTATTAGCTGAATGTACTATTAATAAAATTCTAAATTACAAGTATTTACTTTAATATTTTTTTAAAAAAATAATACTACTATAAATACTAAATATATATATTATTATATTTATTACTTTTTATATATTAACAAACTTATTATAAATTTTGCAAAAAAAGCAATTTATAAATAAAAGTTGTTTTTTTAATTATGTCAGTAAATTTTTATTTTTAAAAAAATATTAAATAAAAGATATAACTTATTAAAAAAGAATTTTAACCTTATATTCTTTTGTTTTATAATTATTTAAAATTTATTAAATAAGTACAATATTAATTTTTTTTTTTTTTTATTAAGGTGACCTCTTTGGTCTTTTAACTTTTATTAATTACTTATCAGTATTGTGGTTTAATGAACCACTACAAAAAAGTGTACAATTGGCTACATATATACCTTTTCTATATTATCTATTTAAGGAATCTGGCTGAAGGTTCTTTACCAATTGCTATACCTAATACCTCTGCTTGGATATTCTACTTTAAACACTCTAAACCTGTAATCTGTGTTAACATTACTGGGTTATCTCAGATGTTCAGATTATCATCTCAATCTTAGAACTAATTTATCCTTAAGGTAAATCCTCAGAGCCTTCTGTACTTATTTTTATAGCTAACCTAGGTATTACTATAGCAAAACCAATACTTGTGGTCAGGGCTAACTATTAAACCACTATGCTCTTATAGAGTTCATACAAACCCCAGCATCTACTTTACAGCATATCCAAAATACTTTAGTATATCCCTGCCAGTTTACCAAACTCCCAATCCAGATTACCTAATAGGATTTATGATTGGTTCATTAGTATATTAGGTCAGTTTGATATTCTTTTTCTCTGGCTCGATCTGGTGGCCTGGTTGTTGATACCTCTTACCTAAAGGTTTTTACCCATCTGACTACTTCAACCTTGATATCTGTTTCATAAGGCTAGCCTTTACAGTAGAGCTGTTAAAGATCTGGCTACCTCTCTACTCGAGTCTTTCCAAATAGGCTTTTTGTTATCTAATTTCAACAGATTTATATTGTTATAGAATGATTTATTATTATTTTATTATTATTATTAGTTATTATTATTTTATTATTATTATTTAGTATTAGTTATTCTATTATTGTATTATTATTATATTACTAGTAGTTGCTAGAACTTTCTAGTTAATTAGTAATCACTTAGTTGCTTAGTTACTTAGTTGCTTAGTTGCTTAGTCACTTAGCTGCTTAGTCGCTTAGTTACTTAGTAATTAGTCACTTAGTAATTATTAGTTATTAGTTGCTAGAACCTTCTGGTCGTTTAGTAATCACTTAGTTGCTTAGTCACTTAGTCATTTAGTCACTTAATCACTTAGTCGCTTGGCTACTTAACTTATAGATATATAAACTCTGCTAAATTTCCCAAGTGCAATTAAGCAACAGATACCTCTTTTCCCTTTAATATTGTAAACACATCTTGGAATTCTTTAGAAATAGAAATCTAAAAATAGCCCTCCTTGTTATTATTTTAATAAACAGCTTTTGACTATAAACTGTATTGATACTCCTTCTCTAGGGTAATTCTTACAGGCAAGGTTTATCTTCTTCTAGTTAAATAAAGTAAAGTTATTAGTATTGCATTACCTTTTCCAAACTGCCTCAGAGAAGAGTATAGTTTCTTAACAATGTCTAACAGAAGCTATACTTACTTCTTGGACATTGCATATACTTGTAAGGGATTCTCTGTGCCATGTTGTTATTATAGTATGAAAATTAAGAAGGCTTTCACCTATAACAATATGATTACAAGGACTTATCTAGTATTTGCACTGCCTAATTGCTAATTTGTATTCCTTTATATAACAACAACCTTGTCTCAAAGGACAATGTCATGTAACCTATTACATGAATATCTCATGACTTACCAGTCATGCTGATGTGACTGCTATTACAGGTATCCTAATTTAATTATTAGTAACAGTTATTATAATATAAATATTACATAGGTGATTATCCAAATTTTTACTGTCGATGTGATTTGAACACCCAATCTACCACTTGAGGGATTGACAACTTGACTACTTTACTAGATCATCACACCTCTCAATATTAATTTTTTTCTTTTTTCTAATTATATAAAATATTTATTATAATTTTTATTGCTTTAGAAAAAGATAAACAAATGGTATTTTCAATTTTAGTAACTTTAGTTTTAGATCAGTTTAAATAGTTAATAATCTTAGTTTCATTAATTTTATTAATTTTAGATTACCTTGCCTTAAATAAACATATTGCTAAAATGTAAAAGAACAGTTTATTATAATTTTATTATAATAGTTTAAGCAAACTATATTACTTATTTAAATATAACTTAGCAAAGTTTTGTTAATATAATCATTAAAAATTATATTTTTAGTTACTTATTTCTATTTTGCAGATTGCTAACTCTTGCAGATAACAATTATAAACATAAGCATTTTTTTACTTTTAAGTACTTCAGATCTGAGATTATTTTAAGATTATTTTATACAATAAATAGCAACATTCTTATAAAGTATAAGATAATCAAAATTGATATATTTATTAGTTTTTTAAACAATTAATTTGAATTAGCTAACAGATAAATATTTTTCTATAAAATGCAATCATAATTATAAGTATTTTATTCAAATTGATTAATAAAATACTATTGTTATAATATTATATATTGCATAGATAATTGTCTAAATTTTTCTTTATTAATAGGTTTTGAACTTACAACCTATTACTTAAAAAGTTAACAACTTATTTATTTTACTAAGTTATCATATTCTCTTAAGATTTTATATAAATTTTTTTTTTAAATATTAATAGTAAGAAGATTTTATATAGTTAAAACAATAAAATAAAATAAAAATTTAATAAAACTTTAATAATTCAAAATCTAATTATAAAACCTATGTTTTAACTTAAAAAAAAGTTTTAGTATAAAAAATTTATATACATTTATTTTATTTTAATCTTTAATTTTACTTAATTTATTTTTAATAAAAATTTTTATAATATAATATTATCTAAAAAAAATTAATTATAATTTATCTTTTTATTAAAAAATTAATTTTTTTATATTATAAAAAAAATTTTAAAACTAAAATAAAAAATCAATATAATAATTTCAAATTTAGATTATACAAGATTTTGAAAGGTTTTAAACATTTTTACATTTATTTTTGTTTTTTAGTTTCGTATTAAATTTTAGCAAATTTTTTTTTTAATTAAAATATCAGTACTTATTTAGATTTATATAGTATATGCTGTATAATAATAAAATAATAACCATAATAAAATAGAACATTTTTAATCAATAATAATACTATATATATAGTAATTTGCTTTTTTTTTTGCGCTATAAATAAATTAAAAACAATCAATTAAAAATAATATTTTGATATTAAAAATTACGCCACAAATCAGCAGCCTGAGCCACTGGTAAATATATTCGTGCGCATGTATATAATTTGTAATATTAATAATACTAGTTCAATTCAAGCTAGTAAGTAAATTAAGACTTAAAATTTTAAAGGCTTGAATGAATTATTCAATTAAAGTTTGTGAAACTATTGCTTGATTTATACAAATTTGGTATATCTGATTTATTAATAATTGATTTTGGTGATCATTGCCAGGGCGCCATTGAACAGATTTCGACGTTTTTTCAGGAGAAAGTTTTCGAACCATATATATTTAAAGAAAACCTGAATTTGTGTTTGTGCTAAGCAAGGAGAAAAGTTAAGTTTGTTCATTGAATTCCATGTATTCCGTTTGTAGCTCAATACAACCGAAAAGGATAGTGTGAGGAACTTGTTTTTATCTATTACTATGGTTCATCATGTAATCATGGTTAATTTTAATAAATAATTAGAATAAAGCCTAAAAGATGTGCAAATTTCATAATCGCATACATTCTTGAATACGTACATGTTTCACAGCACGGCATTCTTGATTATCTAATTTTATTTATTATTATTATTATTTTTATTTAAAGCACATTGTTACATCATCTCGAATTCAAAATGGGAAAATGTAGTTTGAAGAAAACGAAGTGCGAATGATACACTATGAAAAATAGCAAGGTTCAGGAGAATAACAAGATTCAGGACAAGAATATTTGCCGATCTGTAAGAGCATTTATTGAAATTGAAGAATTCAAAGCTTCAAGCTAAAAAATTTAATTTTCAAAAATATAAGAATTAAATTAATTTGCACAAAAGCTACATACTTATATGTATATATTGTATTTATGTGGGAGATCGAACACGAATAAAGTAATACATACTGTTGAGGAAAACTTTATCGATATAGGATTTAAGCTTTCGTAGAAATTGTGCATATATTGATTAACGGAAATACCGTGGATTAATCCAATCTAGATCAACTTTACAAACCTTGTAAAACCTTGTGTGACACTTGTGCGACACTTGTGCTGCGGCGGGAGTATCTAAAAGCTAAATGAATACTATAAAAGTAATATATTCGCCTTTTATTATTCCTTTTTTATATTCATTTGACATCCCTCCATTTATCATTTTTTGTAATCGAATTTCCGAATATCATGGTTTTTTATAGTGGGCGAATTAGATGATTTGGGTGATGCAACGATGCCAAGTTTGACATTCAGGATTGGTGACACATTGTTTTTGTGCCAGAAAAATCAAATCACGTCTTCAGGTCAATGTTCCCCGTCCTTTTCTTCTCCAGTCTTTTATTTTCATCATCATCGCATTCCAACAGCTAAGCGAAAGCGAATTAACAAAAAAAGGTTAGTTTGAATTTTGACGGGGAAAGGCGAAAATGGAGAAATGGGCTGGAAGAGGATCAGGGGAACACGAAACATTTTAAGGATTTTGGATAACAAAAAATCTCGGTGAATTTTGAAATTATTGTTTAAGAGTTATATATGATCTGTGCAAATAAAAAATGAATTATTTTACCGTGTTCGTTAATAACGTTAAGTAATACTGTTATGGACTTGTCGCCCACCGCCGCAGAAACAATTCAACGTCCGTAATAGGTTTTTATATTGTACCTCATTACTTCACATAATACTAAATAATATTCATTAAAAAGAAATTGTACTACACTGAGTGCGTTATTCTACTTTATATAATCACCAAAATATATTGTAACTATATAATCACCTATGATATCATAAAGTACCCAAATGTATTTGAACAATTGGCCAACTTTTTTTGAGTTTTGATCAAAAAGGTGTCGTCCTGTCGAAGGAAAAATTTTTTTTTTTTCTCCACAATTTTTTTTTTTGGTATCTCTGTGTTCTGGCGTAATATTTTTTTTTTTGTTTTGCTTTTATTTCTCTATCTTGTTTCCTGTCATAGATAGATAGATACACTTGTCATTTTTTTTTTTAACCTTTTAATCATTACTGTTGCTAATAGTTATATAAACAAACATAATAGTTAATATTGAACAAAAAAATGACTCAATATAACTCTCCAGTTTATTCGCAAAGCCCTCAACACGCTCAACAATCGTCCCTTTTAAATAACCCAACAATATATCATTTAGAACAAATACAACGTCGGAATGGAAATAATGTGAATAGTATGAATAATATGATAATTCTGGCGAACGATGAGATTTCCGGAACTCCCAATAATTCTTTCAATAGCAGCACACTAAACCCAACTATCTTGAACGCAGCTCAGAATCAATTTTTCGCAGTTGGTCCTGGTCATATAAAGCAAGAGACAGGTTCTATGGATGTTACCGAAGGGGATATTGATCCGCAAGTTGTATGCTCACCAATGACGTCGCCTTCACCCGCTAATTCTGTTGGTTCTCCTATAACCCGCAATTATGACCGTAACTTTATTGATGATGCCAACAACCTATTTGGTCAGTCCTATAAGCCTTCTCATATGGACAGCTTTTCACCGTTTGACGAGTCACCGAGCAATGTTTCTGTTTTTTCTCAAGGTCCTGCTGAAACTAAATTCTTTGATCAAAGTGATCCAAATCAAAATGAGGTCTGTAGCATTAGTGCTCCCACCGGCGTGAGTGCTTTTGAGTTCAGACAACCTCAAAGCAATTTCGTTACTCAGCCTCAGTCATTACCTGCTGGATATGTGAGCGGTGGTGAATGTTTTCCCCAATATACACAAGGTCTACAATATCTTTCTGAAATAGGAGCAGCGGGGTCAGGTGTAAGGCTATACCAACAACATTACATAGATGCTGAAGATTCTGCTGACAGTGCTCAAAAACAGTATGCTTTTTTTTTAAGATGGATTTTTTATTGGTTTTTCATAAATGCTATTACAAACTTATTAACAACATTTCGTTTATTTTTGTTTCAGAGCAATTTTAATCGAAAAGAGGCGTCGTCGTAGAGAATCACATAATGCTGGTAAGCTAAATTCTTTTTATATTTTCACCTTAAGCTTCCCTTTATTTTTACGTTAATCTGGTACTTTCTTATTTTCAGTTGAACGTCGTCGAAGGGACAATATAAATGAAAAGATTCAGGAAATATCCACTCTTATACCAGATATTTTTATTGATTCTTCTAACAAACCAAACAAAGGTGTGATCCTCCGTAAGGCTGTAGAATACATCAAACACCTTCAACAGCTAGTGGGTGAACAACGTGCTCACAATCTAGTGTTGGAAAATACAATAAGCGATATGAAATCTGGGATACCCATCGAAAATAATTCAGAAATGAATGTATCGCCACAAAGTAGCGGTATTGGTGCTTCTCCTCAGGCTTCTTCTTTGGGTAATAATAATAATAATAATAATAATATAACTTCATAATCTTCTGGATCTATATCAGTAAATAATGATCCTTACTATGTGTGAATAAAAGAGATGTGTGTTGGTATTGACAAGATTTAAGATTATGATTTATATTCCTTATTTTTTTATTATCTCTTCATTCTATTCACCAATACTTCATTTATGTGTATTTATCTAATTATTATTTTTTTTTTATTGCCGGTATTTTTTATTTGGCTTATTTTTTTTTTTTTTTTTTGTATTAAAAACATGTTAATAATTGATATATGTCGCTAAAGAATCGCTAGGACAATAACTTAAAGTAGTTAAGCTATGGAGTCAAGAGAACCAAAATTGCTGTGCAGTTGAATGGTTTTTACTAAATGGTTGGGTATTCCGTGAAAAGGTTTTCTTGACCAAATTGTGTTTAAGTTGTATAGTTTAATCCTTTAAATGTTCTGATCGCATTTAACACAATTAACAATGAGGACCTATTCACGGCATTTTTTGTTTATTTTATATATAGTTTTTTTTTTTTTTTTTTTTACCATACTTTACATCCATTGTATATTGAATATGATGACACAATTTTTCTTTATATATTTTTAAAGAACACTTCACTTTTTATATGTACTTATGTTTTTTTTTTTTAACTTTTTTATTTATTCTTTTTCTCATGTGTGTATAGCATGATATTTGAATAATATTTGAATATAAATATATATATATATAAGGTTTTGATTTTTTAATACGCTTTTTTTCTTTTTTTTTTTTTTTTTTTTTGAGGAGGGGAAATCAAAGATTTCTTAAATACTAGATACTATGTACTAGATTTAAATAATAACATTAACCCTATTTACTTTAATAATATTCCTTTTTTTTTTTCTTTTTTTTATATATATATATTGATTTTTTACTCATAGCGTGTATATATGTATATATATGCGTGCGTGCTCTAGAGTCTGTAGGTTTCAGATTATTTACATATCAATCCTGAATAAAGGCTTCAGGTCACGATTTCAGACAAACATCATGATTAATTTAATTTGGAAAAGTTATGCAAAATAACATATGACTTTATAATATTTCAATAGATTTTGAGAATTTATTGGTCATGATAATGTCAGAGTTTTAAAGTAACTCGTGTCCTTTAGCTAATTCTGAAACATAGTATCCAATGATAACCCTGCTGATGCCATTACAAACCCAAGGAATGGCGGGGAAGGTTTTAAAGGTCGACTAAGATACTCAGGATGATATTGTGTACCAACGAAAAATGGGTGACCTAATAAAAATATAAATGTTAAACATTGAATAAAGAAACATTCACGCTTTTATGGAATTGATAAAGTTACCTCTTAATTCCATAATTTCCATTCTCTGCCCAGTCTCATCACGACCTACGAAATGCATTCCTTTTACCTCTAAAGCTGATCTATATTCTGGGTTCACTTCATATCTATGTCTATGACGTTCATCAATGTACTGTGTACCAACAGCCATGAAATTGGAAGCTTCGTAAAGTTTGCCTTAATAAACTTTATAGTTAATACGATTATTCAAGAATATTATTATACACAAAAACATGTTATTCACGTTATTCACGTACGTGTCGTTGACCACTCTTCCGTACCGTCTTGAAATATAGTGGATCGCATGCCTAATCTCATGGTTCCTCCAAGATGAGTAAGAGACACTTCAGGCATATTGATCACAACCTTATGCGTAGCATATGGTTCGAATTCTTCAGAGTTCGCATCTTTGATATTAATTAAAACGACACGTGTTATATAAATAGGGTATATAAAAGTAAGTGTATCAACATTATAATAATTTACCTGAAAACCCGCAAACATTACGTGCAAATTCAATCACTGCTATCTGTAGACCAAGACATATACCTAGAAAGTATAAAAAAAATTCATCCTTGTGTGATATTGATAAAGGTTTGTAGGAAATGTGTTACAATTTATTTATTATCGTACCTAAGTACGGAATCCTTTTTTCTCGCGCCCATTTTGCTGCAGCAATTTTACCCTCCGTTCCCCGATTCCCAAATCCTCCAGGAACTAAAATACCATTAGCAGAAGACAAGATATTCCAAGCTTCGCGATGCTTTTCAGGATTTATCTTTTCACATTTATGTTCTAATTCGGATGCTTCTACCCACTAATGTTTTAGAAAAATGCATGATCAATACAAACAGTCACATAAGTAAGATATTTAAATGATCTTGACCTACCTTTAGTATTAGCTTTCGCTCACATTTTAAACCAGAATGTTCTAATGCCTTAATTACAGAAAGATACGAATCTTGAAGATTAGTATATTTGCCTACTAGTACGATCGTGACAGATTTATTAAGGCGGTCGTGACTATACATAAATTTTAAATTCCTTGATTAAAAACATGTTTAAATTACATTAATGGTATCATAATTTTAATAACAAAACATACTCTTCTGTTAGTTTTGTCCATTCTTTTAATATGCATTCACCCTTGATTAGCTGTTCTGTGGAAATGTGAATTTTATCCAGATCAAGTCTTTTACGAAAGAAACTCAATACACCTTGCTCTTTCAACAAAAGAGGTACATGATAGGTTGAAAGGACATCTCTAACCGAGATAACCTACTCAATTGTGATTAGATAAGTAATACATTGATAATAGAGAAACTATACTAATCTTGATATGCTTACTTGTTCTTTTCCAACATGACAAAACATAGATATCTTTCCACGTACTTCAGGTTCTAATGGCTTACAGCAACGACATGCAATCTGTAAGTGATGTATGATGTTTTAATTGATATTTTATTAAAAAGAACATCCTTAATTATTACAGGCGTTACTAACCAAGTCCGGAGATAAACCCAAAGCCCTCAATTCTCTGATGGTAGTCTGAGTAGGTTTGGTCTTTTGTTCTCCGACTGGTCCGATGATAGGTACCAACGAAACATGCGCCAAAGCAAAATTTTCATGCCCCACTCTAAATTGAAATTGACGCATGGCTTCTATAAATGGTGCGGACTCTATGTCACCAACGGTACCACCAAGCTACAAAAATATCCATTAGACATGTCGTTTTTATGAGCATTTTATGAAATGAATTAAACTAATGTATGAAACATTTTAATTTACTTCGATGATGCAAACATCGGGTTTTTCACCGCTATGATCGACTGATATCATAGCTACACGTTCAATCCATTCTTGAATTGCGTCAGTAATATGCGGAACCTAGCATATAATGAACGATATAAGCGACATCAATCTTTATCGTGTGTTTACATTTCCCGAATCATCATACTTTACCACTTGAACTGTTTTGCCTAAATATTCTCCTTTACGCTATTATATTATAATGGAAACTCGTGACATCAATTCTATCATATCTTCTTAATAATATATTACGATTTTGAATATTATCAAACCTCCTTCTGAATAACTTGTTGATAAATTTTTCCTGTGGTAATATTATTATCTTTGGTAAGTGTTACGTCCAGAAAACGTTCATAGTTTCCTAAATCAAGATCAACTTCTCCACCATCATTTAATACAAAAACCTCCCCTATTAAAGAATATTCGACTATTAAAATACTTTAAAAGTAATCTCATGATATTGAAAACCTTATAATATTATAACAAACCATGTTCGATAGGACTCATAGTCCCTGCATCGATATTCATATAAGGATCTATTTTTATAGCAGTCACTCTTAACCCAAGGGTTTTTAGCAAAACTCCTAAAGAAGAGGCAAATATGCCTTTTCCTATACCCGAAATAACACCACCAGATACTAATATATATTTCATATTATGATAAGGCATTAATTTTTAACCTTTATTTTTTAACTTTGCGGCCCAATTTGTCGTTAAGACAATTGGGAAAGAAAATCGTTTTATGATGTAAAGTAGATTAAATATTTTTTTTTTTTTTTTTGCCAATGACACGCGAGCGCCAGGGGCAGTGAAAAATATCGACTTGATTTGGCAAAAATATTTATCGATATGGTCAAAATATCGATTTATATCGATCTACCAAGATTGACCAATCCGAATGCACGATTTGGTGTAATACAATATAACGTGATCAGTAGGTATCCTTACATCAAGAAAATCCCGAGCTACCAGACAAAAAAAATATGGATCGTAGTATCTCAAAAATTCCTTATACATCTAACATCAAAAATTGTGTCCTGTGAGTAAAATTTCATTCTGAAAACTTTTACTTAGAGGTCGGAAGTTAGTTATCATAGTAAATTTTTGTGTTATTTACGTTTTTTTTACAATTATGTTTTTCGCGTTTGTTTTGTTACACGAGATCTTGTGATTTTATTGGATCCGGACAGGGTCGGAAATTGGAACTTGCGCCAGCATGTAAAATTATACTGGTAAAATTAGTTCTATCGTTATAACAAAAGAACGAAAAGGTCAAATATATTCTTAAATATATATATTTTTCTAAGGGTAATTCTATTTTCACCTATCATGTGACACCAGCCACTATGGCTTGTAAATATCGTAAAAAATCATTTTGCATTTTAGTTATGTGATCGCTATTTAGGTAACCTATATCACGTGATCTACGATCGGGTGCAACATGAAAGTTTTAAAAAAACTCTTCAAAAATTGCAATTCAAAATTTGTAGTTTCACATAGAAATTTCTTGAATATTCATAATACAAATGCATTATCTTCACCAATATACTGAATGCAAACTTCTAATTAAATGTATAAATTTTTTTTTTTTTAGTATTAAAATGATCTTTTGAGTTTTTAATTTTATTTAAACTATTACAAAAAAAGTGTACAATTGGTTACATATCTAACTTTTATATTACTTATTTAAGAAGTTTGCTCAAAGGTTTCTTACTAATTGTTATATTTAACATTCTTGCTTAGGTATTTTACTTTAAACTCTTTGAACCTGTAAACCTGTTAACTTTACTAGGTTATATCTGATATTTAGATCATCATCTCAACCTTAGAACTATTTTATTCTTAAGATAAATTCTCAAAGTTTTTTATACTTATTTTTATAATTGATTTAAATATTGTTATGATAGAACTAACACTTGTGAT